TGACCAGATATATGCCAGAAGCAGAGAAAGGCAAACACGTTCCAACACTCAGGCACCTCCTGACCCTGTGATCCTATTACAGAAGAAAGAGTAAATGCAGTTCTCGGTCACCAGGATATGGCACCTAAGGCGCAGTGAGAAGAATCCAGGAGAAATTCAGGGTAGGGTAGCAAAGGCAATATATGTAAGCCAAAGTGTTTGTAGCTCTGAATTATTCTGAAATTTCAAAAGAAAGGAGAGGAAAGGAAGACGAGGAAAGGAAAGGGGAAGAAGGAAGAAGGGAAGAGAGAAGAAAGAAAGGAAAGAAAGAAAGAAAGGAGGAAGGAAAGGAAGAAGAAGAAAGGAGGAAAAGGAAAGGAAAGAGAAGGAAAGGAGGAAGGGAAAGGAGAGAAAGAAGGAGAAAGGGGAAGGAAGGCAGAAAGAAGGAAGGAAGGAAAAGGGAAAGGAAAATTCAGGAGGAAACATTCAGGAGTAAAAATGTGAGAACGAGAGAGGACATCAGACTAAATACTATTAATCGAAACCTCTAAGGAAAAGAAGAGAAAAGAGGCCCAAAACCAGAAACAATCATCAGACGTCCATTAAGTTAGAACATGAGGTACCAGGAAATCGAGAATTTCCTGCAACAATGAGAATTCCTGAATTTGAAAGTTGATGTGAGAAAATCATAACAGCCCTAAACCATGCCAAGCAATCTCGAGCTGAGGGCACAGAGAGGAACTGAGGATATGTTTGCAGAGAATTCGTACACGACTGACTCATGAGCCAGCAGAGCCAGGGGCCAAGCACCGGCCTTGTTCTCATGAAGAGGCCTACACAGGAACTTGTTCAGCTCCAGAAAAATTGGATTAGTGTCATCTGAATGGTAAATTTATGGAGAATAACCTGGACCTGCTCTGTTCAATTCATCTCTTTTCTTTTTATGAAGAAGCTGCAAAAGGGCCAGGTCTTTGAAAGGGGAAGCCCCACCGTAGAGCTGATGGCCAGGAGGGTAAGTCTGTCAGTGTCAAGAAGCTTGATATTCTTAGATGACTATAATTAGGCAATATGGCAATAATAACGTGCTGATCTGCTTAGAATTTTTTTTTCATTTTTAAATTGGTTCAGACTCTGGCAGGGAAGACAAATTTTATTTAAACTCTCACCAACAATAATTTATGACTTACAGTTCTGTTGTGAGACTCAAATATGATGATGAATTTGAAACAGGTGTGTCAATTCGAATCTCCATAGAATCTCGTGCATGTTTTTACTCTAGCAATAAACTTTATGGGTAAAACTCAATGTTCAAAAATAGAAATAAGAGTAGAAGGATAGGATTGAGGCTCAGGAATTTTCAAGTAGCACCAGAGCATTCCTAGGACACTTCAGCTTCAGATGAAGCTGTTTCTGTTGATTCACGAAGACCTCATTTCCATCTCTCAGATAAACGGTCTCTGTTCTGGGTTGCCTTGTGTTGCTCACAAAGAGCTATGCTGGAGTCCTAACCCCTGGTACCTGTTGACATGATCTTTTTCAAGAATATAGTCTTTGCAGATGTAATCAAATTAAGATGAAGTCATACTGGAGTAGGGTGGGCCTTAATCCAATATGAATGGTGTTGTTTATAAGAGAGAAGAGACACAGAGACAGGAACACACAAAGAAAACATGGCCTCATGACATGCAAAAAGATATTGGAGTGATATATCTACAAACCAATAAACAGCAAGGATTCACGGCAAACATCAGAAGTTAAAAGCAGCAAAGAAGGATTCTTCCCTACAGTTCTCAGAGGAAGTGTAACCCTGCCAACACTTTGACTTCAGACTTCTAGCTTCTAGAACTATGAGACAATAAATTGCTGTTGTTTGAAGCTATCCAGTTCGTACTTTCTTATGGAAGCTTAGGAAACTAATATAGCCCCCATACCTAGTGATAGGATAATCTGGGCATCACTTACTAAAAATATATTATATTATTGTTGTAAGCATTTCTGTTGTACAGACTTCAGAGAGCACAACAAAGACCATGTCCCATTTGTCTCCACTTTTTCAAATGCTGCTGAGCCGAGGACTTCACACAACTGTGCCCAGACCAATGCTGGTAAGATAGTGCTGTGCCCAGGGGCTGTGCAGCTGTGGCTGAGTGAATGACCAAGTGGAGTATATGTGTGCTGACTCTCAAACTCAGGAAAGATACAAAAGGAATCCTAATCATCTAGTTCATTATTTAGTAAAAAGTAGTTGTGCTTCTGTGGTTTACCAAATTAATCCTGTGTATTTGAATCCAGATTTGAGGTTCCAATGCCTGAAAAACTATATGGATATAATTGCTAATGCATCTATCATCTCTTCTGACAGGTATGCTTTTAACCTTTCAATTTGGCTTCTAGGGCTTAATCTGTCTAAATCCTGCCTCTCAGGCCACTTTTATTCTGATTAGTTTTTTGATCCTAATACAATGCTTATTTTTATCTTCATATTTATAACTGATGATGTTTCTCCAATCTAAAGATTCTGCTTGCTCCTCTTTGTCCATCCAAATCCAACCTTCAAGGCCCAAGTGATAATCCAGCCCACTTCCTTTGTGAAAACCCTGCCAGTTATTGTAATCAAGATCAACCACTCCATGAGATCTGATTGTGCAGCTCTTATTTCTAACCACTTTATTCCTATCTGGTGCTGCTATATTTGGGTGTGTGTGTGTAAATGGGAGGTATGGTGTGGAGAGAAGGTGGTATCCTTTTCTTATCTTTCAATAGGATTCTTTGTTCCTCAAGGTAGTATACATTACATGGATTTTATAATGTTATTATTCTCTTCAGTACACAACACAGTGATGTGTACAATAGTTGGTCAACAAAATTTTAACTTGACTTGATGACAAAGAAGTCCAGTAAACGGTAAATGAAAAAAAATGCAGTTAAGTTGTAGATGCAGTATCCGGGAAAATCATGGAATTCCATTTTTCTAAAGAATATATGCAAATATTGGTCTATCCCAGATGGTAGAAGAGAATAAAAAGGAATTAATATTTATTGAACCACTGAGCTGTTTCAGATACTGTGCTAACAATTTACATATGTAATCTCTTCATCCTCATAGTCACTTTTTGAGTATGGAGTCATTATTCCCAATTTAATAATCAGGAAATTGAGGGTCAGAGAGATTCTTTAGGAAACAAGCAAAAGGCTTTTGTCTGATACTATGTTTTCCCTTCTCTTTCATCATTATGTATTAAAACATTTTAAAGAAGTAGATCCAGAAAGCATCTTTGGATCTTACAAGGGGATGCAAAGACTAGAGTAAAAATAAAATTATGAAGGTAATTTTGAAGATGTTTTAAATATGGGTTTTATTCTCAAAGATTGTGATGAAAAAAAGTATTTAACTATGATCTTGCAAATTGACCTTTGAAATCGTGGAAAAGATAGGCTAGTTATTTTTAAATGCTACACTTTCTCTCACTTTTCTGAAAAGAATGAGGCCCAGCAATACAGAATAACTAGAACAACCAAAGTACTGTTGATGTTCCTCATCAGAGTTGATTGATGATTGCCTAGCATCAGTGGCAGCTCCAGAGGGTAACATAGTAGGTAGGTGAAATAAGTGATTAAAAATATATTTCTTTTTAGTGTAGTAATTAATATACATATCTAAAAATATATAAAATGATGCATAAATATTTAGTTTTAAGTGCAACCAAGTATAGTGGTTAAGAAGAGTGATGCTGGAGCCAATTGGATGTTTTCAAATTCTGGCTGTATCTCTTGCAAGCTGTGTGACCTAGGTCATGTTACTATGCTTCTCTGGGCCTAATAATTCATCCATAATATGAAAATAATTATAGCGCTTGTTTTATGGAGTTTTTATGAGGAATAAATAAGTTCATCTTTATACAGCTCTTCAAAATTGACTACAGAGATATGCCAGAAGCAGAGAAAGGCAAACACATTTCCACACTCAGGCACCTCCTGACTCCTGGATTCCATTACAGAAGAAAGAGTAAATGCTAGTTCTCGGCAACCCAGGATTATGCCCTAAGGCTGCAGTGAGAAGAATCCCAGGAGAAATTTTCAGGGTAGGGCAAAGGCAATATATGTAACCAAAGTGTTTGTAGCTCTGTAATATTCTGAAATTTCAAAAAAGAAAGGAAAGAGGAAAGGAAAGAGGAAAGGAAAGGGGAAAGGAAAGGAAAAAGAAGGGAAGGGAGGAAAGGAAAGGAAAGGAAAGGAAAGGAAAGGAAAGGAAAGGAAAGGAAGGAAAGGAAAGGAAAGGAAAGGAAAGGAAAGGAAAGGAAAGGAAAGGAAAGGAAAGGAAAGGAAAGGAAAGGAAAGGAAAGGAAAGGAGGGGAAAGGGGAAAGGGGAAAGGAAAGATCTCAGGAGAAAATTCAGGAGTAAAAATGGAGAAAGAGAGACATCAGACTAAAATTACTATTAATGGAAACCCTCAAGGAAAAGAGAAGGTAAAAGAAGCCAAGAAACCAGAAACATCATCAGATCCATTAATTAAATCATGGAGTGACCAGGAAATCCAGAATTTCCTGCAAACATGGAAATTTCTTGAATTTGAAGAGTTGAGTGAGAAAAATCATGAACAGCCTAAAGCCATGGCCCAGCATCTCGAGCTGAGGGGCACAGAGAGGAAGTGGCAGGAATGTTTGCAGAATTCATACTACACTACTCATGAGGCCCAGCAGAGGCCAAGGGGCCAACACCGGCCTTGTTCTCATGAAGAGGCCCTACACAGGATTCTGGGATGCAGATGGAAGGACAACATCTTTTCAGGTCCTCGCTCTGCAGATGTAGCTGGCCTCCTGCCTTCCAAATACCAACCCTGAGCCTGTGCCAACCCCATTCACTTCAAGGAGCCACTGTGGGCTCCTCCACCCACGAGCTACAGGCAGGATCCTCGGGTACCCAGATGGCAGCCCTGGCACATGAGACTTCCATGGTCAGCTCCATGCCTGTCCCCACCCTTTTTCCTGACAGCCCTCATCCCCCAATAGCAGTGCCCTACCTTCTTCCGGTTCAGATCCAAATCCTGAATTTAGAGACAATTAGAACCTGGATCCCGATCTATCTGAAAGACAAAAAATAGCACAATCTATTCATTGGTGGATGGCTCCTTCCTTCCTTTCTCAGCCCAATGTAATGAGAATAAAATGCGAAATAAATGGAAAAAAAAGGCAACTACAAGTCCTATATTTGTGTTTTTATATAAAATAAAATCAATTACCAACAATAAAATTAGTTATGGAATCATAAAAAAATATAAATTGTTCTCTCAAGAATCCTTCAATCCAAATGTACATTTTTCCTTTGGAGAAAACTGACTTGCTCAAGGTCACCCAAGTGAAGTATGAGTAGAGTGAGGCCTAGAACTTCCAGCTCTTAATAGCTATTCCATATTTTTTCCCATTCCATGTTGCATCCTCAATATTTGCCATCCATGAAAAAAATGCCATTAGCTCTTCTCTTTTTCCTGTCAGGCTGAATGAAACATTCTCATTATTGGAACCAGACTAGGCACTTTGCAAGCAGACTTCTTGGACTTTAAATCCTTCCTAGCCCCAGAGGCTAAGAGTGAGCAGGACACTATTCTTGAGGGTGTCTGTCTGAGTGGAGGAAATATTAATATTTCCTAAAGGCCATGGTCAAAATCTAGGCTGTTTACTGAGGCATCAAATGAATCTCTTCTTCCCAGAAACCCATGATCACAAAATAACTTGTCTAATTAAAGTATTGATGGAGAATGGGACAGAACAAGCAGATTATCACGAAATGAATTTTGGGGAAATGTCACAGGAAGCAAATGACAGAGGTGTCAGGGGTGGGGAGTGTGTACGGTGTTCGCTGGGAAAGAACTAGAAGGTGGCACAGGGAGGAAGAGAACGTGGCGGCGCATATGGTGTCTTGATATGATTTGGATGTGGTTTTTCTTACTTTAGGTGTAATGTTAAATGGAGAGAAAGGAGTAGGGATGGAGGAGCAAAGAGAAGAATGAGAAGATGGAAGCCAATGCTTATTGGTACTACCCACGCGCAGGTCCTTCAACATGTTTGTCACGACAATCCCTGTAAGGTGAGTGTTTTTAACCCCACTTTCTGTTGAAGAGACTGAGCCTAAAATAGGTTTTATAACTTGCTCATTCAGCCAGCCAACAAGAGGTGGAGCTGAAATTGGAATGTAGGGCCATTCTATGGAACCCAAAGTCTTTTGGTCACAATGCCTGACCCCTCTGTAATCTAATAACCCCTTTCCTTTTCTCCTACTTGCTGAACCCAATTGAATGGATTCTCGTTGTGGAATACTTTTTCCTTCCTATTTCCACTGCCAAAAACCCATCACCCTGTATTAGAAGGTACTTGACTGCATGTCAAAAAGAGAAATTGCTCTGCTTTAGTTAACTATTTTTAGCACAAATTAACTGAACTAGCAGGTTTATCTTAAATGATGCTGGCACTATTCATGGGGCCTGGACTATTACTAAAAATACAAATGCTAATTGTGCTGACAGCACTCAGCACACTGTGGCTCTTAGCTCATTCTAATTGAAAGGCAGACTCTGGGGTCTTGTTTCATGTACATGTGCGTGAACTAGATCATTTTCTTAAATTCTCAGCCTTACCATCATGCTCTGCTATATTTAACATGTTTGCTTCCCTGAATAACTCAGTTGCCTGAAAATTCATTTCATCCATATTTATTGAGAAGAGAGAAAGAGGTCATTAAGCATAACATTAGAATGGACTTTGCAGGCTCAGTAATACTGAGACAAATGCTGTGGAACTTAGCTCAGAATCGCACAAAAAAATCATCAATGAAAGAAAGTGATTTCTTATACTTTGGGCTCTCCACATGACCCAAATAACCCCAAATAAAAGAGGAATGATAATGGTGAGTTTTATGGCTGAAGATAAAGATACTCACATTCATAATTAAAAATTTTATGACCCAAATGATCATTATCTTTATGTATAGATGTAATTAGAACATGAATATCAGCATAGATTCATAGATTTTAATATATTAATATAACTCTGACAAATTTTTTGAACCTCCAAGTGGCTATTGATCATTCTTGTTAATGATAGTAGTTAGGGGTTCTTTAAAGTCTTATAAAGAATATTGTTTTGTTTTGTGTGTTATTTTGTTTTGTTTTTGAATATTTTTCTATTCTTCGGTAATTGCTATCACTTCTATAACTCACCAAAAGATGTCATTTATTAATTGACAGTAATTAGTGCTGAATATGTACACAGTACAGTGAAGGATATAAGAAAAAGAAACCCTTAAGAAAGTTGTTCAATGTTAGCTTGCATATCAGTTCTGGCTCTGTCGCTTGCTAGCAAACAAATGACTTTCAGTGAGTGATTTATTTCTGTAAGCATGAGCTTCCTCAATTGGTAAGAAAATAGAAAGAGGGACACTAGTAAACAGTCCTGCTTAAAAGGAGGTTTGTGGCAAGTAAATGAGATAATATTGGTGATATTCAACACAGTGCTAGGCTAATAATAAATCCTCATGCAATGGTATCTTTTAAAGATAATTATGAACAATAGTAAAAAGAGGAACAACTTCTAATATTATGTCATTTTACTATTGTCCATAAAATGAATGATTATATATAAACATTTTTTCTCTTATTTATGAGAGCTTTTGATATATTTTTCTATATATTGGTTTCAGTTTACATAACATATACAACCTTTTATTTTGTACTTGTTTTGTTTATGAAATTTTGCATTCTGCCTATTAAATTTAGTATTCTATCATAAGCACATTATATATCATTACATGCTCTGGGTCTATACTGTATTTCATGCAGAATAGATATTATATTACATTTTGGTCAGAGGGTATGGCAAATAAGTTATGAAATTTGGAGCCTGAAGAGTACAAATTCTTTACAAGCATGCAACAAAACATTTATGAAAACTGAATATGTTCTAGGCTATAAAGTAAGTCTATACTGGTTTTAAAGGGTTGGCATAATATTTTTCATATCCTTGGACAACGTCATAGATAAACTGGAAGTCAATAATGAAATGAACCTTAAAAATTACATACACTTAGAAATTTCAACCCCCAAAACCTAAGTAATAGAAAATAGAACTGTGCAATAAGGCAAAGAATATATGTCAAACATAGGCTATAATTAGACTTGTAAGATTACAGCCTTTAATGATTAAATTAGGGTAAAAGAGAAAAGCAAAAAAAAAAAAAACAATAAGAATAATGATCTGAGTGTCTAACATAAGTAATCAGCGAGGGAAAAAACTAGAGAATGAACACAAAGGAAATATATGTCAGCAAATCATAGAGAATGAAAAAATGATACGTTTTAGAGATTAAAAGCTAAGAATTGAAGAGCCTAGTAACGTTAAAATAACATTGACAAAATTAATCAAGAAAAATTAGAAAAAGCACATATAAACAATAATGCAAATAGTCAAGGTGCAACCACAGATGAAGCAGGATTTGTTATAGCTTGATAATTAAATAATAGGAAATATTATGATAAGGTTCATGCCAACAAATGTGGAAATAGGTGAAATAGTAAATAAAAAAAATGAATCACAAGAAAATAGAGAATATTTTGCTTTAGAATACCTACATATGTGGTTAAGTAGTATAAAGAAAACCAAAGGTAGATTCAGCACAAATTATAGCATAATGGCTTGGGGAAAGGGGGTCATATTAGGGAAGAGACAAAGGTGAACTTCAAATATATTGCTCATATTCTATTGCCTAAGCTGTGTGGAGGTATGTGCTTGTTCCTTTTGTACATATTCTTTAAAGAGTGTACCAAATTAGATACATGCTCTTTAGTATGTCATACAAGGGATGTCCGGAAAATATCCAGCCATGCACTATGAAAAATAGAGATATTTATTGAAGAAGATAACAAGAAACATTGTACATAGGACAATGGCATCTCAGTCCCCTTCAAAGTAGGCACTGTGGGACCTCACACAGTTCTCCCAGGGTCTCTTAACCTAACTCATACACATTCAACACTCTCAGGGGTTCTGCTTGTTGCAGGCCTTCCAAAATGTGGACCGCTTTCAACAGATTCTCGACCATCTTTGTCGAGATGCATTTGTGCCACACTTTTATTTGCGCTGCACTCGCTGCCTCATCTTCAAAAGCCTTTTGAATCATCTGAATAGTTTCTGCAGAAAAATGTTCAAGCTTAATGCAAAATTTGATGCAGATTCATTGCTTAACTGGCTCAGTCATTTTGAATGCCACAGCCACACAGTACACATGCTCACTCAATGGCATCTAGCACTCCACTGACTGGTACAGTGACATCATCATTGTTCACGCATGCGCATTCCAGTCCATTCTCCTTGGCTGCCAGGTTACATCAATGTCACTCAGACCGGTCTCTTTATATTAACAATGACTGAATACTTTCCCAACAGACCTCATATACCTTTAAAAATAGAAAAATAAAAATACAGAGCAAGAGAGTACAAACATTATATACATGTACATATATTTATAGGAAGAGTGGAAAGATATGCATCAAGTATTAATAATAATTGAGTACTTCATTGGGATTCAGATGGCAGGAAAAACTGAGGGTATAAGAAGATTTTTTTCCTTTATAATTCATTAGAATATTTTCCAGTTAAAATGAATATATTAATTTTAAAAATAAAATAAAAATGTGTTACTTGTATGATAGAAATTGTAATACAGAAAAAGAAACTATGCTACAACTGTATTCCAAAGCAATGTATTGTTTCTGATTTCCTGTTTTTTAATTTTGTAGAAATGAAACTGTGTGGTATATTTTTTCCTGTGATATGAATTTTTGAAGAATATTATGTTTTTGAGATTTAAGAGTGAAGTGTGTAGCTATAGTTTCTTCATTTTCACTGTTGTATAGCATTTAATTTTATGATTAAACCACCAAAACTAAATTATCTGCCCCCATTTTCCTCTCCCGATTCTCCACTTTCAGTAAAAACTCCATACTGAATACTAAATTACTTTTAATTCCATTAATTCTCCGATTCTCACAAATTAAAGTCCCTTTTTCTTCCTATCTTAATTCTGCTTATCTTACCTTACTTCTTAGAGGAAAACATCCTTCATTTTCCAGGGTTGTTTTATTATAGTGTAGAGAAATTACCATTTTTATAGGCCAAATATGGTGTATTATTACTAATTTTGTATAATTCAATACAAATTATACGGTACTATCTAATATTTACCTGGACTTTTAACTGGACTATAGGTTTCAAGAGGGTTACAAATGTTCCTCTATATTTTTCCTTAAATCTCCATTGCCTACCTCAGTCTTTTACACATAGTTAGAACTCAATAAATACCCTGATTTAATTTATTAGTCTTTGATGTAATATAGAATTAATCATTTTCTAATTAGTATGTTTTCTACTTAGTCATGTTTCAAAAATGTGCTAATTTCCTCTTATATTTTACATTAAGTTTCAAGGAAAAGGTAAATTGAAACTTATTCTTTAGTCACAATTACCAATAATTATTATTTAAGTCCTCTACTTAAGTCCATCTACAGTAGAATGGAAAAATATTTTGTGCTATATTCATATAATAAAATATTATATAGCAAAGAATTTAAATTATAGCTGTAATTCTAACATTGGTTTATCTACCTTCCACTCAGGTAAATGGTATTACCATCATGACAAGAAGTCTCTCATTTTTAAAACCCACCATTTCTTCTTCCTTAATGTATCCTTCTTGTCATTCACCAAGGAAACCACAAGCCTCAGTTTTGTGTTAATAATATTTTTGTCCTTATAGATTTACTATGTATACGTAGTACTCCAATGTATATACTATCTAGTTTTGCCCATCTTTAACATTTTATAAATGTTATTAAAATGTTATAAATTTTATAAATGTATAAATGGGCTCATTCTTTATGATTTCCTTGTGCATTACTTTTTGTTCAATTTTTTTTAATATTATCCTGCTTCAGTTATGAATTGGAACCATGGATTGATGTATACATGCTTCATTCCAGATGGTTGAGCCTAACATTCACTTATTGATTCATTCTTTCATCAAAAATTTATTTAGTATCCACTATCCTGAGCTATGAAGAACTTTATACAAATAACATTAAAAACTTAGGTGAAATGGATA